TGCCAGCCCGCTCAGAGATGTGTATAAGAGACAGTCGTTATATAATGTCGATACGAACTTTCAATTGAGACCAGTCCGAATAAAATCGGTGCAGTCAATCCTGAGGTCTCGAAATCGAGTCTATAAAAATCTATAAAAATGCCACTTTGGCGATTCCAATCTTCGTCGCCGTCGTCGTCGTCGTCTTCAGACAGCTTGGCTGGCCGCCAAGCCCCATTCACAAAGCGAACGACTGTTCGTCAAGATGCGTTCTTATGTGAGGTTACGCACGCCGTTCGAAAACATAACGTGTTCTTACATATTATTTCATCCTTGCTGTTTGTGAATACGAATAATAAAATGTTTAACGCGATATCTTTTATAATTAATAAATGATAATATTTGATAATTGTTAATTAAAATTAATTAATATTTAGAAATTGGACTGAACCTATTGCATTTGTTTAAAGTCTATTATTTAATAATCGGGTATTAACGATGATATCTGAGATCTGTTTGTATGTAAATTGTTAATTAAAATTTAGAAATCGAAATAAAATATTGTATTTGTTTAAAGTATATTATTTAATTATTGAATAAAGATACTGATGATCTATCTTTTTGATAATTGTTATTTAGCATTAATAAATTAAACAAAATAAGTTCTAAACTTCTCAAACATTCATTTATTTAGAATATTGTTTATAATGCGATATTTAACAAGTTAACAATGATATAAGATCTATTTATGCAGCCTTTGTTAATTAGGACATAGAAATCGGTCTAAACTATTGCAATTGTTTAAAATCAATTATTTAACAATTGACTAAAGACATCGATAATCCATTTTTTTGGATGGATTGTTTATTTAATTTGTTATTCAACACTAATAAATTAAATAGAATAAATTCTAAATCTCTCGCATTATCCATTTGTTTATAACACGACATCTAGTAAATTAACAACAATATCTGAGATCTGTTTGTATAGAAATTGTTATTAGAAATCGGACTGAGCTATTGCATTTGTTTAAAGTATTATATATCATTTAATAATCAAATAAAGATATCAAAGATCGGAAGAGCA